ATCTTCAAAAAGAAAAACCAACTGTCCTGATGTTTAAACTGAAAACATGAAAGATAACTGGGCACAAGTAAATTGACTTCTTTAGCATATGATTTTCTTTCTCCATCAGAATAAACAAATGACACCACTTTGCCTTCTTTCCTCCTGTTCCCTGTGCAGACACCTTTGGGAAATTATAAACATGTTTTTTTCCTCAGAAGAATTATACACTAAGTCTGAAGATTTTACTAAGGAAAAAAATGATTCAGCTTGGGGAATTTTGACATCTGAAGGGAAAATTAAAGTGGGAGAAATAAACTTGCTACTAACATAAAATGTTAAAACACTTAGTTAAAGATATTTTCAATATCTGAAAGAGATAGCTGAAGAGATAGCTCAGTGGTTGAGAGCATGTGCTGTTTTTACAGAGGACCTGAGTTCAACTCAAGATCCCCACATCAAGCACATTGCATGTGTCTGAAACCCCAGCTACAACGGACTTTATGACTCTGTCTTCCATAGCTACCAGCCCTCAACTGTATATACCCACATGTAGACATACATACATAGACATGATTAAAATTAACGAAACAAACCTTAAAAACTTTAAAAAAGACATTTTAAAATTTTGTTCTTATTCCATCAATATTGTACTTATTTTTCTTGTTAACATGCTGCATATAACAATCAGTCAAGCTAAATACTATTCTGTCTCATAAAAAGTATCATAATAGATCTATGTGAAAATTAAAATATCCATCTAAGCTTGGTGACAGATGCCTTTAAACCTGGGCTGTCATAGTTTTTGTTTGTTTGTTTGTTTGTTTTATTTTTCATGACAGAGTTTCTCCACATAGCTCTGGCTATCCTGGAACTCGCTCTGTTGACTGCCTCCTCTGTCCCCCAAGTGCTGGAATTAAAGGTAGATTTCTGTGTGTTCAAGCACAATCTGGTCTACAACAAATTCCAGGTTAGCCAAGGCTGTACAGGGAGACCCTGTCTCAAAAAAATCCCTTGCCATTTCTAAAAAGTAGACTTTGAAAATGAGAATCCTTAATACATAGAGAGAAGTGAGGGAGAGGGAAACCTGAAAACTGCCAGCCATAATCACAACACCAGAAAGTTCTTATACTTAAGCCAATTTGTAACACAAAACTCCTTTCAGGTTGGTGGCATTATTTAACCCTACTTCTTACTTATAATACCATGTACACTTTTATTGTATTTTACTTTACAGACCCTAATTTTGTTGGCATGTTAGTATTATAACCTTAAAATTTATGTGATAAAATTATAAATAAGTTCATTTTGGTTTCTATAAGCATTAAATTCAGGGTTTTCATTTAGAACCTATGGTTAGATGAGTAATACTGGCATGTTCTTAGCTGTTCCTCTAGAATTCCAAAATAAATTAACTAAGATAATATGAAGAATTTGTTTATAAATCCACTAGTCATGATGGTATGTCAGCCCATGAATCAGAAGAGTCAGTAGCTTAAACTCTTAGTAAACTAATGGCCATGAAGGAAAAAAGTCATCAACACTCAATTCTGCTTTTAGGATAAGGCCAACACCAGCTTATCCTGGTTCTTAGAAACTAGTCTGTTAGTGAAAATGGTCTTGGTTGAAATAAAAACATTCAAATAGCTCACAAGAGCCTGTTTTGTGTAATGTGTTCATGGCAGATGATGCCACTGAAGAACAGTATGCTACTTCTTGACACAGCTCAATTTAGAAATCAATGTACACACTTTGACACCACAGTATACTAAACCATGAAACATTTGTGCAGAGCAGGCAATAGGAACCTCAGCATCTATGTATTTACCCCTAACAATTTTTGAGCAACTACTGCATTGGCTATACGGAACACAATGGTAAGTTAAATATGACTCCTTTTTTGAGATTCATAAATTAGGAAGGAAAGAAGATATAGAGAAATAGAATGAAAAGGTAATGAATAAAGTGAAAAACATTTTCAAAATATTGGCATAAATGCTCCAGGACTTCAGGAGGAGGATAGCACAATTTAGCCATGTTATTCAAGAAGCCGTCAAGGGACAGGAAAAAACAATACCTAAGTAGTGGCATAAATGCTCCAGGATTTCAGGAAGAGGGTAGAACATTTAGACATGCTATTCAAGAAGCCTTCAAGGGACAGACAGAATGTTAGCTATTAAAAAAACTAGACAGGATTTCAGTTTCCAGGAAAGGAGAAATCCAAGGTGTGTTGCCTTGCTTTATTTTATGATTACTTTTTATTGCCAACTTGACACAAATTAGAGACAGCAGGGGAGAGAGAACCAGTTGAGGAATTACATAGGTCAGATTGGCCTATGAACATGTCTTTGGCACATTTTTTTCAATTGTTAAACAATGTGGGAAGGTCAAGCCAACTGTGGGCAGAATGGCCGAGTCAAGTAGGTCCAGACTGTATAAGAAAGCTGGCTGATCATGAGCAAGGAGAGAAAGCCAATAGTGCTCCTTTGTGGCTTCTGCTTCAGTTCCTGCTTGAGCTGTCATCTTGATTTCCTCAGTGGTAGACTGTCACCTGGAAGTGTACGCTGAAATAAACCCCTTCTGCCCCAGGGGTTTTGGTCATGGTGTGTGTCATAACAACAGAAATCAAACTAGTAGACAAGAGAAAAATGGGTAGTTAAGACTGGTTTGGGGAATATCAAATAGGCTAGTTTAACTAAAGCATGTTTTATATCTAGTGCCAACCAGGCTGTCACCCTGGCAGACAGCAGGGTGACAGAGCAACTGAAGGTTTCACTCAGGGAATCATATGATCCATCTGTTCCTATAGAACTTCAGAATGCTGAATTGGATAGGAGAAGGAGGCTGAGATGTCACTGAGAAGTCTCTTACTAGTCTCTAGGGGTTTCTGTAAGATGATCAGAGAAGAGAAATTAATATTTAAGACCGTACAATGTGTAAAGGCATTTATTAGAAACAACCTTGATGTCCCTCAATGGAGAAATAGACACAGAAATTGTGGTACATTTCATTTATAAAACGGAAAATTACTCAGCTATTAAAAACAAGGAAATCATGAAATTTACAGGCAAATGGTGGGAAGTAGAAAAGATCATCTTGAGTGAGGTAACCCAGAAACAGAAAGACACACATGGTATATACTCCCTCATTCATGGTTATTGGACATATAATATAGGGTAAACATATTAAAGTCTATAGTCCTAAAGAAGCTAAACAACATGGAAGACCCTAGGGAACATGCTCAATCCTCATTCAGAAGGGCAAAAACGATAGACATTGGAAGCAGGAGAAGACAGGAAACAGGGCAGGAGCCTACCACAGAGGGCCTTTGAAAGACTCTACTGATTGAGGTATCAAAGCAGAGGCTGGGACTCATAGCCAAACTTTGGGCAGAATGCATGGAATTTTAAGAAAGAAGGGGGAGATGGAAAGACCTGGAGGGGACAGGATATACAAAAGGAGACCAACAGAGCAAAAAAAAAAAAAAAAACAACAACAACAAAAAAAAAACAAAAACAAAAAAACCCAAACAAACAAAAAAACAAAACAAACAAACAAAAAACAAAAAACCTGAGCCCTGGGGTTCCTGAAGAGAATGATACCCTAACCAAGGACAATGCATGGAGAGGACCTAAAACCCCAGCTCAGATGTAGCCTATAGACTCAGTCTCTAAGTGGGGTCCCTAGTAAGGGGAGCAGGGGCTTTCTCTGGCATGAACTCAGTGGAAGGCTCTCTGATCACCTCCCCTTGGCAGTCTTGCCAGGCCTCAGAGGAAGACAATGCAACCAGGCCTGATGAGACCTGATAGGCTAGGGTCAGATAGAAGGGGAGGAGGACCTCCCCTATCAGTAGACTAGGGGAGGGGCATGGGAGGAGAAGAGGGTGGAAGGAGAAGAAGGAGGAAGGGTAGGATTGGGATAAGACAAGGGAGGGGGCCATAGCTGGAATACAAATTGAATAAATTATAATAAATTATAATATATATAATAAAAAAAGAAAAGTAAAAGAGCAAAACAACAACAACAAAATAATATTGCCTGTAATGTCCCATTAATTGTCGTAGCTGATACTTACTCTTAAAGGTTGATAACAGCAACTGTTACTTTTAGCCAAGGAAACTGAAGCTCAAGGAGATCAGAAGTTTGCTTAGGAGACTGAGTTGGTAATATGAAGGGACAGGAGAGGAGACTTCAGAGCCTGTGTAGCATTTGTGCTACACCAAACTGCCCAAGAGCACCCCTTTCATACTTCCACTTCATCCAGGATCAGCCATTCAACATTATACCTAGAGCCTCCGGCACAGACTTGGAAACTATCACAATAAAATGACTGTAACAACAGGAAGGTTCCCTTTCAAAGGTGAAGTAGAGTGACTTTTCTATCCTTCAACAACCAAAGAACTTTTTGTGCTACACTGAGCTCCCAACACATGAGGCTGTCGCAGCTGCTTTCTAATCAAGAGCAGCTTTAGGGTTTGACACAGGAAATAATCCAAGTTTATCCAAATCTATGTAGCCAATTCTACATATTTTCTGTTCTCAATTTCTCCGAGGAGACAAGATAATTTGTATGATTCTAAGATTGCAACTTAAGAGTTGTTTCTATCAAGAAGACCTATTCCCAGCCCCAAGTTAAATTCTGTTCCTCATAGGCAGAATATGAAGACATCCCCAGGATCTCAGGAACATGGCATCAGAGCATCTTTCCTGCCTGTCCTCCCCTGTCCCTTCATCCACACTGTTGATGCATGACCTGATACTGACTCTGGCTGCTGAGAATTGCCAAGCTTCCTACAACTTCCTGGGTTCCTGGAACTACTGCAGATCTGTACTACTACTTTAGGTGATCCAGAGACATCAAACTGTAGCTCTCCTTTTCACACATGTGTATATATACAGTAAACAAGTGCTATGCTTATTTTTGCTATTACTGATGCAGGAAGTATGCTTTTCCCTCATGAATGGTCAGCATTTTCTCACAAGCGTTTATTTTGGAAAAGGAAAAGCCAGAGTCTACATACCTGCAGTACATCGCTCAGGTCTGTGGTGCTAATGTCTGGGTCCTCTGTGGTGTTGAAAGGCACAGGTGTAATACGCACAAGGGTGAGCACTCGTGGCTCTGGGTACCTCCATAACATCATCCCTGGACTTTCTTCTGTTTCACTACAAAACAAGACCTCATACATACCAGGGAGTCTCAAAGGTTCTGCCAAATGAAAACAAAATTGTATATTTTTAAGAAGAAATATGTTAGTTTCTTTGAGAAAGAATAAAATAAAATCACACAAAACAACTAACTGATCAGTTTAAATATGATTTTAGGTGGACAAGGTCAATTTCAAGAGAGAGCATGACTGGCATACACTACCTTTATGCTGTAAGTATGCAAGTGTATTGTCAAGTGTCCCACAGTTCTATGGGGTGAGTCACTGCAAACTGCACCTGGGCACGTGCCCTATACGCTGACGCTGCTTGTACTCACCAGCATCCTGAACGTACTGAAAGACACCTGTGCGCAGGTCATCTGAACTTTGTTCAGTTTTAAAAGCTTGAGTCTTTTCCACAGAAGATGGCATGTGGGGTGCTGATTCAGGAACTGGCACTTCGTACTTTCCCTCCTCCTTAAGATACTCACTGAATAATTCATGCAGAAGAGCCAAGCAATTCAAATGTTCTTGACCCCAGAAAACCTTTAAAAGGGCATAAAAAAGTTAACAGTCTTTAAAAATAAGCATCTCTAGAGGATTATTAGGTATGATAATTTTTCAATTAATATGAGACTGTAATCATGTTTAATTTAATTACTGACAATAAGCTATAATTTCTAATAATTAATAATTGAAATTCTAATACTTGAATAAACAACAGCAAGAACAATATTACATATTATGTGAATAACAATAAACTTTAAACTGTAGATTAATGGTGATATTACACTGGTGTGAAGTACTATTTGTGATTTAATTTCTCAAAGAGGAAGAAGAACATTTCTTAAAGTGGAAATTAGGAAACAGATTATCTAGGTCAAATATTAATAAGATGATAAAACCAGTCTCGTGGAATAGCTTCTTCCATTTGTAATGAGATAAACAGTCCTGGCTGTAAGGCTGCTTTCTAACAAGAGAGAAGAAGAAAGCTGACAACAGACTTGTACATAGGAGGTTTCCAGGGTCTGTGCTTAGTGAGACTGTCAACATATGACTCCACTGTGGCAATCCAGTGTTCAGTGTCAGGAGCCTGAGAGCCCAAGAATGCAGAGCCCTGCAACAGCTATATGACCAGTGACACAGTGATTAATGTTAAGTGTCTAGAACACAGAGAGAATAAACTTTATTGCTCTCTCATTACTGTCCTTAATATGTACTTCTCTGCCTTGGAAAAAGATAGTATAATTAAAACACATTGTGAAGCAGCACACATCTAAAAGGTTACTGATAGAAATAAAAGCCTTTTAAAAGCCATAAAGTAGTATCTTTGGAATCTCCCCAAACTGTGGCTCATGTCAGTAAAAGAGGTGAGAAGTTGAAAGATTACAACTATTTGATGATCTTAAAAGATCTATATTTAACATACTCCCTTTACTGATAAATTAGTCACCTGGATTTTCTATCATTGTGAATCTTGGGACATGAAATTGCCTAACGATCAAGTTGAGAGCAACTTAAGTGTCAACAAGAAATAAGCTAGATATGCTCACATATTCTATATCTGGCTATAAGCACATGACTAAGAGGTTGGGAATTAACCAGTGTCCAGGTTTAGTAACTGACCATCATACGTCTAAGGACCCTGCAGTTATGATGAGGTCTTATGTATTTCCCGTGACACTGTGCTTCAGGCTGACTACACTATGATTAGAAAACTCTACTCCTTCAAAAATTTGATCTAGCATTTTCACTGTCAGTTATACAACCAAGAGGAACAAAAATGTATGGCCACAGAAAACCTTGTCTGCAGATGTTCACAGAAGCATTACTTGGGAATATTTCAAAGTGGAAAGATTCCACTTTTTATAAGGAAACTCCCTCAACTGATGAATGAATGGAAGGAAATATTCTAAAATTGACCATGGTGATAATGATCACACACCCTAACATACAAACAAGAAAAACACAACCCATTGAAGTATACTGCTGAAATAGGTAAATTAGATGGTTTATGACTCATTCTTCAATAATGCTGTTAAAATTTAATGGGTACCGTCTGACTATACACTTTCTTGTCACACAAAAATTAAAATTTTAATGAAGTTCTTCAAAACAAAACAAAGCAAAACAAAACGCTAGTTAAAAAACTAATGGGGAAAACACAGCCGATCCCTACAGACCTGTAGCAGACCACCTCTTAAATCCATGGATATTTTTGGTGTGGATTGTTGTGGGCCTGGATTTCCACTGTGTTTACACCATTTAGCTTCCAGATTGACAGTAGTAGAAAATGGTCCTATAAGAATCCGACTTCTTTCTTTGAGGCTTGTTTTAAGGAGAAAATCATTTACGTTGAGGAGGAATGATGACCCAAGACTTACACCTGAAGGAAAGAAATGGAAAGGGAATATAGTTTGACTATTCCTTGACAGAAAAAAAAAAATTAGGAAAAGGACTAGGAATATTTTTAAACAGTGCTAATTCCCCCTTTGCCATGGTCTTTCCAAATTGGCTTTCCACCACTTTTCATGCCATTATTATAGAATTCCAGTTATGAAGCAGGTAGACTTTCACATTCTTAACAAACTGATATTTGCCAAAACATTATGACTTTTTCCATGTGTGAGAAGTTTAGGTTTTATGAGTGGAGAAGTTTTCATTAAATTGTGCAAGTTTTTCAAACAAGTACATTCAGAATAAGAACAGCTGCTTCATTTGTCTGTTATTAGCATGATACGAAAGGGCAATTTTCTGTGGTGTTTTACAGCAACAGAGTACAGTATATTACTTTGCTAGACACTCAAGTTTTGGGCTGGCCCATGTTAAAATTCGAAACAATCACAATACATAACACATGCTTTCTAAAAACTTTAGCTTAATCCAAACTTCACACATCATAACCACTTGAAGTTTACAAGTCTTAAAAACAGATAGTGGCAAGTTAGATTTATAAGAAAAACTATATGCTATAGTTCAAAGTAAATACACCCAGAAAAGGAATACACTTTAAAAATGTAGGTTTCCTTTTGAACTCGAAGTAAGAGTGTGGATCAAAATCTTTTAATAAGCCTATTGCAGACTTTAAGATATTTAGATGTACAATTCAAGTGGTGAGTTCATTTCTTCCCAAGAAACTCATATTCTAAATTGTCACCGTGAATATTGAATTTCACCAGGCCACATTTGTAATGCACATGGCTTATTTTCCTAATGCTATCTGATCCTGCAAAAAAAAAAAAAAAAAAAAAAAAAAAAAAAAAAAAAAAAAAAAAAAACAAAAAAAAAAAAAAAAAAAAAAAAAAAAAAAAAAAAAAAAAAAAAAAAGGATGATTAAGAAACACCTTAGGCCCAGGCTGTATGCATGTTTCAAAGTACAGTATCCACACTGATTTTTCAGTTCTGTGGAGAATTGAAAATTTCATGTTGTATGTACTTTCTGTGGAAATAAGGGACACATTTTAAAATCCTCCACAAAAGGCATCAGATTCACAGTATTAGGGCTATGGTTTGTTAAAAAGTTACCATGTTGAGAAATCAATTTCTTAAATCTTTCAATAAAACATGTACCACTGAAATGTCTTTCACAAATACCTTGAGGTTTTTAGTTAGTTTGTTTGTTTTTAAGATTTATTTATTTATTATGGATACATTGTTCTGCCCGCATGTACACCTGCACATCACCCATATTGGTGGTATAAGCCACCATGTGGTTGCTGGGGATTGAACTCAGGATCTCTGGAAGAAGAGCCAGTGCTCTTAACCTCTGAGCCATCTCTCCAGCCCTATTTTTTTAAATTTTTTATTTTATTTTATTTTATTAATTACACTTTATTCACTTTGTATTCCCCCATAAGCCCCTCCCTCCTCCCCTCCCGGGTCCACCCTCCCTCCCCCTTCTTCACGCATGCCCCTTCCCAAGTCCACTGATAGGAGAGGTCCTCTTCTACTTCCTTCTGATCTTATTCTATCAGATCTCATCAGGAGTGGCTGCATTGTCATCTTCTATGGCCTGGTAAGGCTGCTCCCCCCTCAGAGGGAGGTGATCAAAGAGCAGGCCAATCAGATTATGTCAGAGGCAGTCCCTCTTCCCATTACTATGGAACCCACTTGGACACTAAATTGCCATGGGCTACATCTGTGCAGGGGTTCTAGGTTATCTCCATGTCTGGTACTTGGTTGGAGTATGAGTCTTTGGGAAGACCCCTGTGTTCAAAATTTCTGGTTCTGTAGCTCTCCTTGTGGGGTTCCTGTCCTCTCAAGCTCTTCCTATTTCCCACTTCTTACATTAGATTCCATGCACTCTGCCCAACAGTTGGCCATAAGTCTCAGTGTCTGTTTTGATAGTCTGCAGGGCAGAGCCTTTCAGAGGCCCTCTGTGGCAGGTTTCTAGGTTGTTTCCTGTTTTCTCCTTCTTCTGATGTCCAACCTCCTTGCCTTTCGGAATGGGGACTGAGCGTTTTAGTCGGGGTCCTCTCTCTTGATTAGTTTCTTTAGATGTACAGATTTTAGTAGGTTTATCCTATGTTATATGTCTATATGAGTGAGTATATACCGTGTGTGTCCCTCTGCTTCTGGGACAGCTCACTCAGGAGGATCCTTTCCAGGTCCCACCATTTACCTGCAAATTTCATGATTTCCTTATTTTTCATTGCAGAGTAATACTCCATCATGTAGATAACATCAGAAAGGCAATATAGAGGTACAGAAATGAGTATTAAGAGAATGCCATGCATAATTTCCCAATTTTTGCATCTTTCTGCTACCCTACACTGGAATAACTATGCATCTAGAAGGAGCCTTTAGGTGAATGTCCAACTGGTTCCCAAGCAGTGTTAGTACCAAGGTTCCCTAAATTTCTTCTCATATCTAAGTTTTTATTGTTCAGAAACTCAGACTGAAAACCTTTGGTCTCTTTCTGAAGATTCTTGATGCTTTGGATATGTTACCAGGTCGTTGATTTCATTTTCATTCTTTCAAGTTTCATTCTCTCTTACTTCAATATCTGTCATCATGGAAAAGAGGCTGTAGTAGTCTACGTGCCAATGGGGAGGGGCCATCACATTTCAGTTCCTGCTACTGAGCATCGTGGAAACAAGGATTGTATTACTCAGTGAGGAGAACTGAACACAGACAGGCTGTTTAGGACCTGTCACACAGAATGGACTTGACAGTTTAGAATCTGCTCCCAAAGTGGCTGACTTGCTAGGTAGGAAGGACATTTCTCATTTTACATCACTGTAAGAGAGGAACATGATTGGAAAGCCTTAATAAGCTGCTTCTTTTAGGCCTTCATCCAACTCAGCAAACAAACAAGATGTTTGAAATATTTTAGGACTATGGTAAAAGCTTCAAAAAGACGTAATTACAATATACATCCTTCACACAGCCAAGCTATTTATTTATGATACAGGGCCTCACCATGTAGCCTTGGCTGACCTGGAAACTTGTTTTGTAGATCAGGCTGCTTTTGAACTCAAAGAAAACTTGCCTTTCAAGTGCTTGGATTAAAAAAAAAAAATGTACCACATCACCCAGCTAGAATTAAAATTTGCCTCTTCCCCCATGATGTCTTTCTCCTGGCCTGCAATCTCAACTAGATGAGATGTCATCTGTAACAAATCTTCCAGCTTCCCTGCCTTCTGTGACTTTAAGACTCTGAATCTCTACCATTGTACATCTGTCAATTTTAGCTTATCCCTTGTTTTCCTGTGGCAGAAGAAGTTAGGCATTTCCCATAGGATAACCAAATTCCCATAGGATGCCCCTGTGTGGGGCATCACACAGGACATTTGTTGCAGGATATCTAATCCCATTGTGAACTGAAAACCTTGTTTCTTGGGTGTGGTTGAGCCCTAGCATATGCCTTTAATCTACGAATTTTCTGTACACAGGGTTTAATAAAATTAACCCTAGATCAAGAGGCAGAGCAAGAACCCAGCTGACAGGGATTAAAGAGGAGGTGGGACTTCGTGTTGAGGGGCATTTAAAATAGCATGGAGAAGAAGAAAGGGCTATTAGCTCAAGTTCTGGCTGTGGCTTAGATGTCAGCTCCTCAGCTCCCTGAACTAGCAAGTCTTCAGCTCTGGGGTTTTTTGTTTTTGTTTTTTTTTTTTCTTTTTGGCTTTTTGATCCTGGGCTGTCAGTTGAGCTAGTGAGCCTTTTGGGTTTTTCTACCTATACCTGAGCTGAGAAGGAAAGTCAGCTGGTTACTTTCTCTGCCTCTCTGAGCCAGCAGGTTTTCACCCAGCACTTGGCTCCCGAGTCTTTACTGGTAAAATAGAACAGTTGTGATTTTCCTTCTTTAAATAATATTCTGGGAACCAGTTTGGGGCACAACTCCACAGACAGAGATCACTCCAGCTGTGGACAAATTAAGTCACCTGAAATGTCCTCTAAGAGACCATTAAGGATGGGAACTACCATAATAGAAGGCTTTAGAACCCTGTTTAGTGCTTCTCCAGACAGCCTAAACATAGAAGCATTAAATGAAAAGCTAAATACCATAAGTGAAATTAGCTCAATACCAATAATTTATTCTTAATATGGCTTTCTGTACTTGCTCTAAGAAAAAAAAAACCTTTAGAGAAACAGAGTTCTACAGTTCATAATTTTTGGGTTCACAATGGGATCAAATATCCTGTAACAGACATGTGATCCTCTGTTTCACTGCTATGAACTCTGAGGGCTTTGTCAGCCAGAATTTCCCAAACTATAGTGTTACCCTTTTCTCCTTGGAGGAAGATTTGCAGAGATTACGTAGATACATTTTCATCTAACTGTCACACACTAATGTTCCCAGTCACCATTGGCACTCATAAGGATTATTGCTATGTTGTATGATAATGGCAGCTTTTAATTCTCTGTTTCACAAGTTGTATTTGTATTAGTATTGAATCCTACATACTCACCTTATGAATAAAAATTCAGTTTTATTCTTATTTGCTGCTAAAATTAAACCAACTTTGGTCACTGGAAATTATACTTTTAAGTTAGTCTTTTTGATCTACCTCTATCATTCTTTACTTTCTAGTCTCAAGACATTTCCCCCATCTTTCGTCTGACATCAGTCACTTCTCCATAGAGACTTGTTTACTAAAGAATGATATCCAGAAGCCAAAATCTTGATGGCAGGAATACCCACTTCTATTTCATTTCTTCCTGGCTCTCTATGTTAGTTACAGTTGCTGCTGCTAGGAAGGGACACCATGACCATGGTGACTCTTAATAAGAAAAACATCTAATTGGTGCTGGCTTACAGTTTCATAGGTTTAGTCCATTATCATCTTGGCAGGAAGCATGGCTGTGTACAGACAGACATGGTGCTGAAGAAGGAGCTGAGAGTTCTAAATATGGATTGTCAGGCAGCAAGCAGAGAGAGTGACA